GAAAAATACAGAAACCTAGCACCAGAAAGCGAGACTGTGTGTCAATACTACTGTTATGAACACTCTAGACTACCTACTCTACTACCCTAATCCTCGACCTTCATACCTTCATATCAAGGGTCATATCCTCGGTCAGCTGAGGCTGCGCATGTCTTGCCTAATCACCTCTCCCCACCGCTTTTTTGGCCTACCTCTACCTCTCTATAGGCCCTCCAATTTCAACCTCTCACACCTCCTCACCGGGGCATCTGTGCTCCTCCTCCTCACATGACCAAACCACCTAAGCTGTACTTCGCGCATCTTGTCCTCAGTACGGGCCACATCCACCTTGTCGCGAATAACCTCGTTTCTGATCCTATCTAACCTGGTGTGCCCGCACATCCATCTCAACATCCTCATCTCTGCTACTTTCATCTTAACTACATGAGCGAACTTGACTGGTCAACACTCACCCTCATACAACATCATTAGTCTGACCACCACTCTATAGAACTTATCCTAAAGTTTCGTGGCATCTTTTTGTTGACAAAATACCGAAAGCGAGTCACTATTTCATTCATCCCGCCCCAATACGATGTGTGACATCTTCATCAATCTCCCTATCCCCCTGAATAATAGACTTAAGGTACTTAAAACTCCCTCTCCTGGGGATGACCTGCGAGTCCAGCCTCCCCTCCCCCTCCCCTCCTTGAGTCTCACCACTGAACTTACACTCCAAGTATTTTGTCTTGGTCCTGCTTAATTTGAAACCTTTAGATTCCAGGATCTGCCTACATACCTCTAATTGCGTGTTCATACCATATCGCGTCTCGTTAATCAATATACTATTATCTGTAAATATCATGCACTACGGCACCTCCCCTTGAATGTGGCGCGTCAGTACGTCCATCACCAGAGCAAACAAAAAAGGGCTGAGTGCCGACCGTTGATGCAACCCCATCATAACGAGAAAATGGTCTGAGTCCCCACCTACTCATCCTCACTTGGGTCTTTAATCCATCATACATGTCCTTAATCAACCTAACATAGGCAATAGGTACACCTTTAGCTTCCAAACATCTCCACAAAACCTCCATTGGAACTTTATCGTATGTCTTTTCTAAGTTGATGAACACCATATGCAAGTCCTTCTTTCTCTCCCTATACTGCTCCATCAATCTCCTAACAAGGTGGATGGCTTCTGTAGTCGAACACCCCAGCATAAACCCAAACTGATTCTCGAAAATAGACATACTCCTCTTCATCCTTAGCTCTACCACTCTCTCACATACTTTCATAGTATGTCTAAGCAGCTTGATACCCCGATAGTTATTGCAATTTTGGATATCACCTTGTTCTTATATACAGGAACAATCGTGCTCAACCTCCACTCTTCGGGCATCTTGTTCGTTCAAAAAATGACATTAAATATCCTAGTGAGATACTCCAAGTATGCCTTACTCGTACTCTTCCAAGACTCCACTGAGATTTTATCTAGCCCGGTCGCTTTACCCTGCTCATCTTACACATAGCCCCCTTACAACATCAACTCTAATCCGCCTAGAATATCCAAATTCACAATGACTCCTGGATAGTTCCAAATCACATAATACAATGCTCATATCCCCCTATTCGTTCAAGAGACTATGAAAGTAGGTCTGCCATCTCCGACGGATAAGCCCTTCATAAAAAAAATTCTACCATCTTCGTCCTTAATGCACTTCATGGTCCAAGTCACGCGCCTTCCTTTCTCGCGCCTTGGCTAATCTGAACAACCTCTTATCCCCTCCTCGACCCTCGAGTTCCTCATACAAATGATTAAAAGTTGCAGTTTTGGCCGCCGTAACTGCTAGCTTTGCCTCTTTCTTAGCCAACTTATAATGCTCCATACTCGCTCTCTTCTCCTCCTCGTCTACACTTTCCACTAGCTTTAGATACGCTGCTTTTTTGGTTTCCACTTTTTCTTGCACCTCTCCATTCCACCACCAGTCTCCCTTGTGACCACTAGAGTAACTCTTTGAGACTCCTAATACCTCTCTCACAGCTTCTCTAATGCACTGTGCAGTCGTGGTCCACATAGCGCTTACGTCCCCACTACTCCTCTAAGCCCCCATAGTCACCAGCTTGGACCCCAATTCCTGCGCTTTAACTTCTGTCAAGGCTCCCCGCTTGATCCTATGCTGACTATATATCGCCCTCTTCCTTCTCTTCCTCGTGATCTCAAGGTCCATGACCAGGAGCCTATGAAGGGTCGAGAGGTTCTCATGACCTTGCAATCCGTGCAAAGGCCTCTATCGGACTATTATTATGCAATTTTAAAAATATATATTTCAAAATATCAATTGACAATTATTCCGGAAAGACAATTTGACCGGGTCTGTGTTGCATGGAATGAAAAAGGAGTGTTGGCATTGACAATAATAATGTCATACTCAAAGATGTATATACTCGAACTTATTATGTTTTAATTATTGCTAAATAAAGTTGGTGATTCATAACTGATCAATCTTCTAAGATCTTCAAAGGGAGTAATCAATTTTCTACTAGAAAACAAGAATGAAAATAATGGTAGCACTGTCCATCATGTGACTTTTATTATTTTCAAATTTTTTATGTTGACACGTAAAGAAAAAGCGAAAATTGTACTTTTTTTGTTTGTTTGAATTATTGGTATTCGCATTTCACTAGTTCAATAATTTTAAATTTACGTCGATGAGCTGAAAAATGATAAAATATTTTTTACTAAAAAGTTCTTTATTTCTGTAACTTAAACACGAAATATTTGATTAAGGAGGAAAGAATTTTGCTATATCATCGCACGATAAGAGTAAAAGTTTTCATAGAAGAATTAACTTTCAACTCACTTTTTCTTTTCCTTTTTAATCTTTTTTTTTTTTTTGGGAATGGTCCAAGTGTAGGGTAGTTAAGCTTGCTTTTCTTGAAAGGTTTAATTTGGAGAATGTTTTTGAAGAAACTTTTGAAAAACTTTTCTGAAAAAATCGTTTTACAACCATGTGATCATGTACTTTTTAATGACACCTAGATACACTAATGATTGTTTAAAAGACTTTTACCTTTTTAAGAAGCGCTTAATTTATATTAGCAGTTCAAAGGTTATACATATTAAGGTTTGGAATGGATAAATACATACGTAAAATAAATGAAAAATAAACCAAATTATTGATTGGGTCCCAAAACAAAAAATGTAGTTGTTTGGACAAAATTGTTAATGAGTACACTCAACACAAATTGACATAAACTTGATTCTTGACTAGCTCCATGATATAGAGGGTAGACCGTATCATTCTATGTGACAATTTTTTTAATATATGACAACAATAACAACGGTCAGTATAATCCCACAAATGGAGTTTTAATCTATGACAAAAAAATGATATTTTCGTGATATTTAATAATAAATTAATTTTAAACTTTTCGTTTTATTATTAACTACATGATATATGAATGTTAAGGGTACATTTCAAATTAATCACAACTTTTTAAAATAAAATTCTTTATTTCGAACTCATTAAGCTTGATCCTTCTTAAGATATTCATTTATATGTACAAATTATTTAGAATTTAATAATCTAAAAAGATTAAATTTCAAATTCATTACCTTTAAATCTTGATTTGTCTCTGATAAACTCCTCCCCGAAATGAATGCAATGTCTCAAAAGCTAAGTCTTATTTTTTGGTTTTTCATCTAATTTTTGATATTCGCATTGGGGTCGACTAAATCCGAATTCATACTTAAAAATCTCATATTGAAAGATAAAAATGTTCCCTAATAAAGGCAAGAAACTAAGGGCCCGTTTGGCCATAAGAATTTTTTTATTTCTTTTCGAAATTAATACTTGGCCATAAAATCTTCAATTTTCACTTGAAGATGAACAAAGATATAAAAATTCCAAAAAACTGTTTTTAAAAATGTTCACACAAAAATTTAAAAAAGCCTAAAATTATATTTATGTCTAAACACAACTTTAATTTTTAAATATCATTTTCACTTTAAAAAATCACTTTTTTTCGAAATTTTACAATTCTGATGTGTCCAAACGCCCACTAAATCATTCATAGACCAAAGTTTAATAGCTATAATTCAATGGGGACGTAGAGAAAGTAAAGTCTCTTTTGCAATACAAAGCAATCTCTATTTTTGGGGTCCAATAAAATAGTGAGAATGTAAATTTGAACTAAGCCTAGGGATATATGAGTAGAGCTGGCAAATAGGAAAAAAGTTGTCGTTTGACATGACAATCAGACAAGAAATTGACAGGAATATCCTTTAATTTTTCGACCCCCAAACATATATAACAACCATACAATGACATTTTAGAAACATGGGGTAGAAAACATTGAAAGTTTATTTGCCCTTTTGTTTGGAAATAGTAATTCTTGAAAAATACTCATTTGAATTCATAAAACTAAATGAGAATACAGTGATATATACAGTTCATGAAAATTACAGTTAACTTCTTTCTTTTGGTTTGTTTTGTCTAATATTGATAGCTTTCGTTTTCAATTTTTCGCCTAGCTGTCCATTCAATACCTATTCTACGAATTATTTACATTAGGAATGACAATAGAGCGAAGCAGGTGAACGATGAGCAATTGAGCACGCTTCAATATTTTCAATTGGAGGACTGACCCTTTTGGCCATAAGAAATTATTCACTTTTTTTCGGAAACAGTTTTTAACGATGAAAATTTCAGATTTTATTTGAAGTCGAATTTCGAAATTTTTTAGAAATTTGAAAAACTTCATATATTTTTTGACAAATTGTGTTCTGTTACCACCCTTTGATAAATGTATCATTTTTTTGACGGACTACTAATGTGAAAAGAGCAAGATACCTAATATAGTTAATCTTCATTTTCACAAGCATTGACATGTTCATGTGGATACAGTCACCATACAGTTGAATTTGTGTTTAGGAAAGCATANCCCCAAGTCCAAATTAATGTCATAATTCATTAAGAATTTCACGTGAAAGCATCAACATAAATCAGACAGAGCGAAAAGCAACAAAAACATCTCCTCCCTTATTATTTTTCCCTCTCTCCACATTTTTTGGCCGTTTCCTATAAAAATCATACAAACAAAAACGACAAAGAATACAAATTATATTTAACACAATTTACTACAACAAATCGACTTATATTAATTTCCACAGGAAAAAAAATGTACCCCACCCTTCAACAAAAAAAAAAAGTATCCACGACTCAGTGAGTTGCCGAGTTATCATGGCAAACCACATCCGTGTCGCGTAAAACCAATCCGCGATCGATCCCTATCGAACTCGAACACGAATCCTTGCTGCATTAAGTTTCCGATGACCGAGAACCCCGAGGGAGCCGCCAACGGCTGCAATGCGAGGCATTTAACGTCCTCCGCGGTGTCAATGAAGTAGTTCCCGGGTGGCGGGGAAAGGACCGAGTCACCACTGAGTTTGAAACTCATTTTAGGGAAACTCGGTCTCGACACGCCCGATACGTTTACACACAAGTCAAACCCAAGAGTCGGGTCATTGACTTCTGGCAGCCTAACCAACCGCTTAAACTCTCTCACTATACGCCGGTAAGCCGGCTCGGCGAGAAAAGTCAATGTTGTCCCTGAATCCATAACAGTCCCGCCATTTCCCAACTCATCAATAGCCCAAACGGAAGGGTTTATTTGTAATTTTACATGCTCAATATAAACACTTTCAATCCCAATATAGTAAAACGTCGACGTAAATGGGTTATTTATCATCGGCGTATAACTCATTTTCGAATCGTTGACTTGAGCGGACCGGCCGATTAATAAGTAACTCGTTGGAGTTGGAGATAATGTGTAGTCCATAAAACAGTAAGAAAACTTGTTGCCGAACCGGCGGCCTAGTTGACTCGCTAATGAAATCGAACCGCGGCCCAAGCCCATTACACCTTGAGCTCCGTTAAAACTCGGACCGGTAATGCTTGGACCGGTCGCTTCAAAACTACAACCAAATGCAAACTTTTTAAACTTCACAGCACTGCCTGAGCTGGCATTAAGCGTCGTCGTTTCAGTAGAGAAAAATCCTCTGGTTTCAGACTCATCGGAGTAAGAGTACACGTAACGGCACGGACTGTGTTGGCGCGTGAGGTTACACGCAACGCCTCGTGGGTTGGGGACGAGCCTACATTTTTTATCGTAGCAATGGAAGGGGAAGTACGTGGAGGAATGGCGGGCGAGGAATGCGGAGCCACGGCGGCGGGAAGAGCAGTTTCGGCAGGCAGAACAAGTGACCCAAACAAGGTCACTGCCGGTGTCGGCGACTAAAAGGAGGCGTTGCGGCGGTGTACCGAGCTTAAGATCGACGAAGTACTGTCCACTGCCGGAAGATGCGCCAGAAGTTAATGGGAGTTTAGCTGAGCGGATGCTACGGTGGTTAAGGGAGGAGTAAAGAGTGTTTAAGCGCCGGAGGTCGGAGGAAAGGGATTGTGAAGGGTTTGGTGGGAATGTGTCTTTGTGAAGTAATGGGAGTTTTAGGTATTCGACTTTACGGTGGTTTGCGGCGGAGGAGAGGAAGAAGAGAGAAAAGATAAGGTACAACAATGCTCTTCCCATTGGAGATTAATAATGCGAGATTAGAGAGGGAGTTGTACTGTAAAGAGTAACGTTTAAGATCTGGGAAAGAAAGAGAAATGGAGAAGAAGGGTTGGTTGCATTTATACGTACGTGTTACTCTCTTTCTATTATTGATTGATATGGAGGAGTAGTAGTATTTATTTATCTTTGGCCTATAATGATTAGTACTATTATATCATCACAAAAAATATTTACATTTATCGTCAAAGCTCTCTACAACATTATTTTTGTATAACAACAATTCATTATAAAAGTCAAACTTTTTTTCAGAATAATTTTCATGTTCTATTATAATATATATTCTTTATAACAATATTTCACTATAATATTAAAAAATATTCGAAACAAACAATACTGTTGTTATAGAAATGTATGACTATATTTGGACTAAGTGCATCTATCTAAATAATACTAGTACTATTCTATTATTACCCAAGATCTTCGTTCTTACACATAAGATATTTGAAAATGAAATATAAAGAGATTTGAAAAGGTTATTTTCTTCTATTCGAATCGAAATAACCACATATCATTTCCTCTCAGATTTTGCGAATCAAACAAGTTTCTTATGATTATTTCATATTTTAAATTATTATTATTGTGACTTATAATGATTTTGAAATAGTTTCCAAATATATGAATTTTATATCAAAATTTAAAGATTTTATATTCGACTAGAAATCAGAATTGCACCATATAAATTGAGACAAAATGATCTCATTTTATTTTTAATGAGATGATTTATGACACACATATTTATAGCTTGTTCTGAATTACAAATTTTTAAATTTTTTTTTTTTTAATTTTGTACATAACCAAATACTACACATAAATTAAGAGGGAGGAAATAATATTTAAAAGGCCAATACAAAATTCATAGGACTTATGTCCTGGCCTGTAGACAGAAAAACATAAAGGGGAGAACTAATCATAACTTTTAATATTGTAGACACAAATTAAAAACATAAACAAATTATGCATATCTATTAATATTAACTCTAAGGAAAAATATTATATGGCTTATGCAGACAACGACGATATGGTAAGTTGTCTTATTACCATAATGCACCTATATATTAAAATTGAATTAGCCTAGTAGTCGTATTAGATCATTACTTGAAGTTGTTAAAATAGGTCAATTGGACTTAGAACACGTATTCTAATGGAGTATATTAAATCAGAATTATCTATAGGTTGAAAGTGTAAACCACCACATCGAATGCGTGTCAGCTTATACGCGGTTATCATAAGTGAACTAGTAATTCACTCTATTATCATGGTTATACGCGATGAATTGACTCCATGTTCTAAGTGATAAATTGTGTCATCATGATAATGTAAGTATATCCGATCTTTGATCCAATTGAAGAGTTGCTGGCTATATTTCTTGAAGTACCAGCAGAAGCTGTACTGTTCGTTTCCGACATAGGAGAGCATTTAATGTAATTTTTTGTTTTTGTGCAATGTAGCAGTTTAATGTAATACACAGTTTGCATGTTAGTTTTTAAGCATAATCTTAAAATTAAAAATTTGTGAATTAGTAAACAAAAATAGCATAAAGACTCTTACCATTGTATGTGAAAACAGATAAACAAATAGTTATTACCTGACAACCAAAAGGGTATATGTAAGCAAGCCGTGAAAGTTAAGAAACACCTATCACAACCTAACGAAGAATGAGGTGTTAGTGCTGGTAACGTGTTAAGAAACTTAGCTCAAAGTAATCATATGAAACAAAAAAAATAGACAAGAATGTAGAGGGCAAGAGATAAGAGCTTCTTATTTCTTTCAAGTGTTTCAAGTATGTACATTATCACTTCATCCTCTATTTATAGTATTACATAAAAGTATACAAAAGAATATCATAAGCATGGTATTAAACATTTTAGATCATGGAGGAACATCACGGGGAGGTTATGAAGGTATGGAAGTTACAACCATAACTCCATAAATATTGGAGCAGTCAGAGTTATGGAGATAATGGAAAAGAGTAGTGGATATTACTCTTTTATGAGTTATAGACATCCACCAATAAATAATTATTTATAAGAGATGTTCTAGTAATTCATCAATTATCATACAAGGAGAAGTTAATTACTTACTCTGCTTCATTTTCATTTTATGTAACATTACTTCATTTAGTATGTCACCAAAAGAACAATATTTTTATATTTAAAAATAATTTAAATTTATATATTTTATTTTATCCTTAATAAAATGAGTGTATTCAGGGGCGGATGCAGCCTATTATACGTGGGTGTTAGGACCGAAAAATTAGGTGTCATGCGGAAGCTAGCAAAACAAACCTTCAACGATGATAAATCAGACAACAAAGGAGAATCTACCAAAAGAGACACAAACATTTAACGTGGTTCGGTCAACTGACCTACGTCCACGACGGAGATGAACAATCAACTATATAAAAAGAGAGTACATAATATCGAGAGAATAACCTCACGAAGAGGCAAACACAAGTGACACACTAACACTTGTCCCGTAAAGTTCTCCCCCTAAACACGACCCTCGAGCCCCCTATGGCTACATTGTGTATGCTATTGAATGAGAAGGAAGGATCCTCAATTTATAGAAGTCCAAACCTTTTCCTACAAGAAAAAGGACTAGCCAAGTATAGGAGAATTATAATTTCCTTCTACAAAAAAGAAAACCCAATTAAGGTAATTATATTGCCCTTTCCTTCAACAAATAGGAAAACTAAATATGGTAAGAAAATTATGGCAAAGACCTAACAATTCTCCCCCTTGGCCGGAATTTTCTGACAAAATAAACTTGATCCACCTTCTTCACATAGCCTTCAACAGGTCGCATCTCCAAATCTCCACCACAAAGTTTGTCTCAACGTGCGTAGCACACCGGTCAAATTTCTCAGAAAAAAATCACGATTATCGTCAAATATGTTGTGGCTAGAACTGAACCGCCAAGATGAACCTGTCTTGAACCTCGCTCGAAGCTAGCTCTGATACCACTGTTATGACCGAAAAACTAGGTGTCATACGGAAGCTAGCAAAGCAAACCTTCAACGACGATAAATCAGACAACAAAGGAGAAATCTACCAAAAGAGACACAAACATTTAACGTGGTTCGGTCAACTGACCTACGTCCACGACGGAGATGAGCAATCCACTATATAAAAAGAGAGTACATAATATCGAGAGAATAACCTCATGAAGAGGCAAACACAAGTGACACACTAACACTTGTCCCGTAAAGTTCTCCACCTAAACACGAATCTCAAGCCCCCTATGGCTACATTGTGTATGCTACTGAATGAGAAGGAAGGATCCTCAATTTATAGAAGTCCAAACATTTTCCTATAAGAAAAAGGACTAGCCAAGTATAGGAGAATTATAATTTCCTTCTACAAAAAGGAAAACCCAATTAAGGTAATTATATTGTCCTTTCCTTCAACAAATAGGAAAACCAAATATGGTTAGAAAATTATGGCAAACACCTAACAGTGGGTTCCCATGAACCCAATAGCTTTTGCATATACCCTGTATATGTATTAAAAAATTAACTAAATATCCATAAATATTTAGTTGTGAACCCAGTTATTTATTGTATATTTACTTAAGATCGATATAGGAACCCATAAACTTTAAATCCTGGATCCGCCTCTGAGTGTATGACCACATAAATATCACGTCATATTTTGAACCAATAGTTCATATTTTTATTTTTTATTTTTATGAACTTTTGTCTAGTCAAATAAGTTTATAGAAAATAAAATAGAAGGAGTACATGATACTGCCTATAAAATGAATAAGCTTTTTGTTTTTTATTTATTAAAAGAATAATAATAACAATATAATAATAAACTCATTATAATTCCACAAGTGCGATCTAAAAACATAAAACAATAAAAATATAAAGGAATAAATAAATGTATGATGATCAAATGCTAAAAGCAAGAAATGCACAAACAATAATTTAAACATTTAATGTTAACTTGTTAGCCGATCGAAACAAACCCAAAGATGCCAAAGGGAACAAGTCCAAACTATCGTACTCAAGAATGCTATCGTTGAAGTTAGTAACCGTCAAATAATGTGATGCAATGAATGAAACTGCTCTTCCTTTAATTAGAGGTTTCGGGTTTGAATCCTAAATATGAATTTTTTTTATTTTTTGGTAGGAAGCGCTTCTCCACAAATAAAATCAATACGGAGCGAATCTGGATATAGTCGGGCTCCAATATAGTATTGGACACCGAATGAGAAACAAAAAAAATATTGAAGTTAGTAAACAACCTTAGAAAATGCAATGTATTTTGGTTAGACATGGCACAAATTAAAATATTGAAAAGGCTTATAAATTTTTTGATCTTAAACTTTAGATGTATATAATATAAAAAAAAAATACTCTTTAAATCTTACATAGTAAAAGATATAATTTCATTCATATAGTGTCAACAGGAATAAAATAAAAATGTTGAAATTAAGAAGTTACTACTAACTATAGAAAGAATCATATTTTTATACAGATTAAAATAAAATGAAAAGTAAAACATATATGAAAATGAAAGAGAGTAATAAACTAAAATTTCTGAAATGGATACATAATACTTGTACAGTACATAGTAAGCTGATGGAGTCTCACAGTATAGTTTTGATCTGTAGTTGTCCCCTCTTATTGTTTGAGATCAGTGCATATATATTGAAGACAAAACGCACATTTTTTTGGCATTTTTACACAAATAGTGGCCATATTAATTGTTTAATTTTTTTTAGTTATATACATAAATTATACATGTATTATACACAATTATACATATATAATACATTAATTATGCATATATCATATATTCACCGGCTATTTTTAGTTTAAGTAGTAGGGTGTGCGGCTATTAGGGTTAATTCTTTTTTGCTATTCATCCTTTGTCAGATATTTGTATTGGATACTTACTATTCATCCTTACTTTATTATTATTTTATTATTTAACTCTTTTAATTTATCTCTATGTTTATGTAATATCTTTATAACCTTAATTTTACATCTTAACTTTGGCGTATAATGTTGATAAATTAATTTTCGTGCTTTTATTATTTTTATGTAAAATTATAAGTTAATTTTATTATAAGTTATA